CTGAAGAACTGACGATAAACCACACAGAGCTTAGATTGAAGAGTTAAAACTGCCGCGGGAGCCCAACGAACACATCATTTGAGATTCTGTTTTCAGGATGTCAATGCTTTCTAACGATAACTTCGTCATCAAGTATAAGTCACGTAACTCCATTTTCGGAAGCAGCAGTGGGCTCTGTGCAAACTCCTAAGCGGACAGCAGAGAGCGAGCTCAACTCTAACCCGACTGTTTTCTCACTCCCTGTCTCACAGGTGACTGCGTGAGAGACATCTTCTGCCAGCTCCTGCAGCAACACGAGGACAGCAAAAGCCAGCCGAGATGCCAGCCGTCACCGGGAGACACAGAGCTTCCTCAGCCAACATTCACCTGCAGACGCCAACCAGAAACTGCACCCAGCCAGCGCCCTCCCCACTTAGCAGAGCTAAGTGGCAATTTCAAAGTTTTGCACCTTAGCACCCTCTCGGCTTACCCAAACTGGCCCAGCTGGAGCTGAAGCTTCACTTTCCGTGGTCGCAGCCAAGTGAGCTCAAGCAGCTTGGAGACCACCTCTTCCTGACGGCCTCCCCCCTGAGAAGGCGACCCTGCTGCAGACCCACAAGGCTGCAGCCTGCCTCTGGAGCCCACCTGAGTCAAGTAACCTTTTGGACTCGCACTGAACGGCTAAATCCCAATTTATTTCAAATTCTCTGAAAAGTTTAAAAGCGGCAGCTTTTCCCATTAAAATGCGTAATGCCTAATTCTGTCACTGTGCCTCGGCGGGTGAAGCTAGTGCCTATGTCACCGGCGTCACCACAGGTGCCCAGGCTGTAGCCCTAGCTGCGTAGTTCCTCATCCACCTCCCTGCTAGAGCAGGGGAAGAGGACTCCCACCCTTGGGCCCCTGCATCGTGTGTGAGACCTGGAGGAAGCTCCTGGCTCCTGGCTTCAGCCTCACCCGTCCCGGCCAGTGTGAACCAGCACCTGCAAGGGGGTCACTCTCCCCGTCTTTGTAACTCTGCCTTTCAGGTAAACAAATCTTTCCAAATAATTTGGACTCAAAGCTGCTGCTCCGGTCCTGAGGGGATTCCTCGTTCTCCCCGTGCACTCCGCCACCTTCCACTTTCCTCCTGGAGAGGAGCCCCAGGCAGTGAGAAGAGCATCTGGAGGCACCCAGCCCTTCCCCAGCCCGGGCTCCAGGCAAACACCCTGAGCTCTCCGGCTTACTTCACAGCACTGTGAGCCAACCCCAGTGCCACCTTTCCTCCTCTCAGTCACTGCCTTCCGCCCACAGCAGGGACAACACACAGTCCCCTGGCAGCAGGGAACACACCCCCGCGCCTCACTGCTTCCTTCTCTGCTGGAGCAGTGACCTGCCCCTCAGCAGCCCTGCCCTCCTCACAGGCTGTGCTCTGTGCTCACTTGACCCTAGAACCCAGAGCGGTGTGCACGCAGGCTTCCAACAAACAGCTGCTGACTTAACATCTGACACCAAGAGCAGGGTGCGCGCTCTGAAAATGTGCGTTTCTCAGGATGCCCATTTCAAGTAAAACAGCGTAGAGCACACATTCTTTTTAATTTTACTAACTTAAATTTTGATTTCAAATGTAGTGAGGCAGACTGCTCATCTGCTGGTTCGATTCCTAAACTGACCACAACAGCCCGGGGTTGGGCCAACCCAACTCAGGAGTCCAGCACTCAATCTTGCCCTTTTGGGTGGCAGAGATCCAACCACCTCAGCCACCACCTGCTGCTTCCCAGGGCACACGGCAGCAGGAAGGCAAGGGCAGAGCTCAAGTACTGCTCTACAGAAGCGGCAGCTCCAGCGGGCCCCTAACCTGCTACACCCCAACACAGGGAGAACAGGAAAGGAGAGACTGTGTGCATGCGTACGCACATATACGTATCTACTTACTAACTGATTTTCATTGGAAACGTAGAGTTACAGAGAAGGAAATACAAGAGAGGAACATCTTCCATCTGCTGGTTCACTCCCCACAGGCTGCAAAGACTAGAGCTGAGCTGATCCAAAGCAAGCAGTCAGGAGCTCCCTTCAGGTCTCCCACACTGGTGCAGTCCCAGGGTCACAAACAGGCAGCTGCATCAGAAGTGGAGCGGCTGGGTCTCGACCACTGCCCATATGGAATGCCGGCACTGCAGACCGAGGCTTAGCCGGCTATGCCACTGTGTTGGCCCTAACAAAGCATGTACTTGAAATATGCAAAGTGCATTCTCCTCCCGATTTACTGAGCAATCCCTCTAGATCAATCATGTGTTCACTGTTCCGACAAATCCTCGGGCTGGCATCAGCTGGCTTAGGGGGCTGTCGGCCTCAGCGCAGCCTCCGCGTGGACAGGGACAGGATGCCTTCCCTGGATGGTGAGCGGGAACAGCAGGGCTCAGGGCTCCACACGCCCAGCTCCACTCACGCCGTGCTACGGGGAAGCCTGTTTGCTTTTGTTTTTGCTATGAAAGGGTTCAGATTTGAGTAAGGGAATGAGGGAGACGGGCAAAGCGCACAAACTACACTTAATACTTTCCCACCTCATTCCACACTGGACTGTAACCGTCAACTTAAACGTGGGCCCAAGGCGTCTAGCTACGCCCACAGGGGACTCTGAGGCACATTTTAGGTGGAAAACACTGTTTTCCCAATTCAATGAAGCCACAAACCCAACCATGCTTTCAAGCATTATTTCATGGTGACTGACCCGATTCACTTCACTGGGGAACACTTCCAACGATTCTACTGCTTTCTTACTTTGCCGAGTACTTGAAAAAAAAAATCCTTCTCCACAATTAACCAGCCATGTACCACAGAACAACATATTCCAGCCAACAGCAGGCCACACGCACGACGGATGATTTAAAATCTCCAAAGACTACAACAGCCTGGACAAACCCTATGGCACACAACACCACAGCCACCCTACCACTGGGCACGATGCAATTATCTGTGAATGCGGGAAACGATTGCAAACGCACCTGCAGAGTGGGACCTGCAGAGTGGGACCACACTGGGACACGGTGCCTGACACCTCATAACGACAAACTGTTACTCAGGCCTGTATTCTCTCTACTATGCCTTTTAATCACTGCTTCAGCAATTTTTTTTTTTTTACAAGGGAGGGGAGGGAAGGGAAAGGAAAAAGGAAAGGGAAAACAAAAAAAGAAAAGTACTGCGAAACGGCCTCAGGCTGGCACTCCGGGAGTATTCCAGAAGAAGCACGTGTTAACACTGAAGATAACTGCTCCATCGATGCTATTTGCTCCTGGGGACCTTCCAGAAGGAGTGACAGAGGGAAGACAGCAATACTGACTGGACGATCTTGATCTTGCTCACACCTAGGCTAATGTGTCTGTCTTAGCATTAGAAAAAAAAAAAATTTACACCATTTTAAAACTGCTTAAATCAGAACCAGCAGTGTGATATAGTGGTTTAAGGTCAGCATCCCTATGGGCCCCAGGTAGCATTCCAGGGGCTCAGCTTCTGATCCAGCTCCCTGCCAGTGTGCCCAGAAAAGCAGCTTAGATGACTCAAGTACTGGGCCCCCTGCAACGGGTGTGAGAAGACCCGGACGGAGCTCCTGGAGCCTAGCTCTGGCCGGCCCAGCCTTGACCGCTTGCTCTCTGTTGGAGAGCCAACCAGCAGATCATAGCTCTCTCTAACTTTGCATTTCAGATAAGCTAATGATTAAATAGAAACATGTTTAAAGAACGATGCTATAAAGAAAATGTATTTGCACAGCTATCACCATGCATTCCATTTTAAGTATAACACCATTACAAGAGTCAAAAATGTTTAAAATATATACAAAGTAAAAAACTTCAAGGTAAGCTAAGGTAAATTTGTTAATGAAAAAGAAAGATGGCTATGTTTACTTACACAGCACAACCCACGTGTGTCATAGTTACAAAGTTCACATCTGGGATAGGTCAGGGCCTCAGGCATCAATCACTCACCACCCACTCCGCCAGAGCCACCTCCAGTCCTGAAAACTTCACTCAAGGGGAGGCGCCCAGAACCCACGCCCCACTTCTTCCTTTTAGACCTGATTTGTACTTCCGCTGCGTGGGGACACCGAGGGCCCTGGCTCACCAAGGCCTTCAGTGTTGTGCGCAGTGGCGTGCTGCACAGGTCTGCACCTCCACACCATTAGGTCGCAGGTGTAGACAGGCCTGCACCACCCACGCTGGGGCCCACGCATTTTGTTACATTTGCACAACGATGAAACTGCCAAAAAATGTATTTCTCAGGAGGCAGCCCTGCCATGAAGCAATATGCGAATACATGTCACAAAATACTTATTCCATCTGAAATATCTACTTTAATAATTCTTAGTCGAACACTGTTACATTCTCATCTACTCATACTTGCCATTACTGGTTGATAAAACTTATGAGGATACAAAACATTTCAAATAGCAGAGCGGTATGTTGGCTTTCCCAATGTGAAAACACCTCTTCCCCATCCAGGAAAACGGCCTATCCAAGCGTGTATCCCTCATGTCCCTTCGACACCCTCTTCCTCAGCCTGCCGGTGCCAGCTGCATGCCCACAGCGACTGAGCCCACACCGCCTAGGACTCTCCTCACTTCCTGTCCTGGGAACTCACACGGCAATCCAGAAATAAACCTCCAAGAGAGTATGTAGTGAGGGGAGGCGGGAGGAAGATGGGGTAGGACAGAAAATGCTACCAAGCTCCTAGCACCCAGCTGGCAGAGGCTGTCAGCCACTGACTTGCGATTCCTCATGCCAAGCGTGGCTCCTGTTAAGAGTGAAGTCTCCGCCTTTACCACTCCCGTGAGTGCTTGGGAAGATATTGTCATTCTGTCAAAGTTAGTTAATTCATTCAGCAGATCCTTGCTGAGTACCTCCTGACACTACGGAGAACAGCGAGGGAGAAGGAGCAGGGACAGAAACCCAGCTCACCAGGTGGCAGAGCCACATCAGGCAGGCCCAGGCCGTGTCCCCTTCCCCAAAGCACCACGTGCAAGCCTCACTTCTCCCTGCACTCAGCCTTACCTCTTAGGTTTCTGGGGTGAATTTGTTTCGTTCGGGGCATCTTCTTTGATTCAATGGCTCCTTTCCAGGTGCAAATACTAGGCCGGGCAGTTCACAAAGGTTGGCTCCATACACTCTGTACTGTGTCAGTTAATCCAGGTACTGAAAAGACAGAAAACAAAAACATGAAGAATGTCTTGTTACCTTCAAAAGAAAAAGATATATTGAAAATTGTACTTTAACACAGCTCTAGGGCAAACTCGAGCCAATGTAACCCAGCTGAGCCTGCTCCAAGATAACCTGATTTCAATTAAACAGAGGAGCTGCTCAATTTGGCCAAAAACCCGGCCCTTCTCACTAAGAAAACAAAATACAAGAGTCACTATCTTTACCAGAAGCAAGCCAAAGAATTCACTTTGTATTTGAAAATACAGCCAGCAGGCTGCACTTTCCCCTGTCCAGGTCTGTGCCCGCCTTCCCAAGGGGCAGGGGCACGGCCAGCTCTTCATGTCTCAGAATGCAGCCCCGCTATACACCTACTCCACAGTCCCCCAGCCCTCCCTTCTTGGCCTACGGGAGCTACGGAAGGACACCCCCCTTTTGCCTTCCCCCTGGTTAGCGGGAAGGGTGACTAGTTCCAGCTAACCCCTTGCCAGTGGAACAGGCCAGCTTTGCAGCCTGCGTGGGGAATTCAGTTGGCAAAGTGAATTCCTGGGCACGCCCCTTCCTCCTGCTACGGGAGGGCACCGGCCCCGCCCAGAAGCAGACACAAACAGCAGAGCTCCCAGAAACGCCCACAGTCAGGAGGACTCGCACGCTTTTGTTACTGCAGCATGCCCTGGGCTTACACATTCAAACAAAGTGAGACAAAACACAATATGCCAACATGGTAATCGCCAAAAACCTAAAGCACCCATTCCCAAATCAGCTTCCGGAAGACTGTCAGACACTAGAGCAAAAATTTCAGTTTTAAACTTCCTGCAATAAAACCCGATAAGCATAAGCAAAGCCCATTCTGTTGACTTTAAGCATGAAACAATGTTTAATCACTACGCAAACACGGGATCGGAACAGAAATGCTTAGTGCGAAACTCCTGTTGAATCTGTAACTGTAGAAGCGACACAGACAATACACCCCAGCACTAACTCTGCCTAAGTGCCTTCTGCTTGGGACCGACTGTAACTCAGACAAGGCAGCTGCCATCCACTCGTCTGATGAATTAAAGACAAGGACTAACGGGGTGGCAAGGCGGGGACCTCCCCCAGGGCTCAGCGCTCCCAGAGCCACTTTCTCACTGGACATGATGCCGATGGCGCCTCCCTCCTCCCAGGAGCTTTTCCAGAAGTTGCAGTAACACTACACAGCAGGTCTGGACAACATATTTTGGTGTCCAATCAGCCAGGGTTCCACGCCAGCCTCTGTTGTCCTGTACGAGGCACTACACCTCCCTGAAGATCGTATTTCTCAACCTTAAAACGAGGAAATGCTATCCACCTCGCAAGGTTGTTAGGATGACTAAACGAACCGAAGTAGGCGATTCGCAGGACACAGAACTGCTGACAGAGCGCTTCTCCTTAGGAAAGGCTTCCTGGGAAAGCAAGCATCCAACAAGCTAGCCTGAGTCTCAGAAACGCACAGCTCCAAGCCAGCCAAGGCCGGGGAGGGGACGAAGGTAGAGTCAACTTCTGCAGACGCTTCCTGATTTGGCACTCCAGCAGCACGGATATTTTTGCATGTTTAACTGCATGCGTTTTTCCTTTAAGATTGCATATGCAAAATGACATGCCAGCACAGGGTTGATATCTCATCCCTGCACCACGCAAAAACGATGTAGAAAAGCTCTGGCTCCTACAGCCGAAAACTCCTACAACTGGATTCAGGCAGATTCTGAGTCACCAGGGAACGCCGGCACCTGAGGGCCAAATAAACTGCGAAGGCTGCACTAAACGTGGTGCTCTGTCCCTGGCTCAACCCAGAGCATTTAAATGGCCACGAGATGACCAAGTTTCTGAAGCGTGAACTCCCACTGCAACCCAATCACGTGATTCCCTGGGAGCCGGAGCTCACGGGTAATATATGCAAATCCCCATCCTTAACGGCTCCCTGCTCCCCCATCCGCTCACTACCCACCGGCCCCGCTGCCCATCCACATTTAAACCCTTGCTGGAGGAAGTGGGCCTTTTCAGACAGCAGCCACGGGGACCAGGGTGGGGGAGGAGGGCTGTCCCTTTTCTGCGGGAAAGAAAAGAAACACTACGCGGAGCAAAAAAAAAAAAAAAAAAACGTGACACGATCAAAAAGCGTAAAGACTGTCGCGGGGAGGGAAAAAAAAAAACATGAATGAATGTGGAGGGCGGAGCCTGGGAAAACCCCTCGCAACGCTGCACTGAACAAAGCGCTGCGCCTGCCAGGAGGAGGGGGGAATGGAAGTGCCAGCTCAGAAAGGAGCCTGGAGTGGCTGCAGAGAGCCGGGGAGGAGGAGGAGGAGGAGGAGGAGGAGGAGGAAGGCGGCGGCTGCAGCCGACACCGCAGCCCCGAGCCGCCGGCCCGCCACCCCCTCCAGCTCCAGCCGCAACTCGGGGGGCCGAGCCCGCGCCGTGACCCGCCTCCCCATCCCCCCCCCCACCCCCCGGCTGCCCAACAGCCGCGGGCACGCACTCCCAACCCGGAAAGAAACTCCCCAGGTGGCCGGGACTACACAGGCACTTGGAGCCGAAAGAACGAAAGGAAAAGCGGAGCCACAAAGCTGGGAGGTTGCGAAGCCGAGGCCTGGTCGCCCGGTGCGCGCGCGCGCGCGCACACACACACACACATATACACACCACACACACACACACACCCCTTGCAAACCAGAAGGCGGCCCCGGGGGCGGGTGGAGAGGCTTGGCCTCCTCCGTCGTACCTGCTCTGTTCCGGGGAACCGCAGCTGCAGGCGCCGGCGCGCTGCTGCAAGGGCGCCCAGAAGTGGCAAGTGCCTGCCGCACGCAGCCATCCCCCTCCGCAAGGTCGGCGGTTGCACACACACACACACACACACACACACACACGCACACGCATACACTCGCGCGATCGCCCGCCCACCCACCCCGGAGCAGGGGGCTTGCCTGCCCGGCCGGCCCTGCCCGCCTCCCCGCCCGCCCGCCCGCCGAGCCCGCGCCCAACCTGCTGCCAGGACGCCCGGCCGAGCGCCCGCCGCTGCCAGCCGGCCCTCGGACGGAGCTGCGCCCGCTGATGGCGGCAGCCCCGCAGCTCACAATCTCCGCGACCCCCGCGCGCCGGCGGCGGCTGCGGCTGCGGCGGCTGCGGCGCCTGGGATCCCTCCTTCACTTGACAACCCCAAACACAAACATGACCTCCGCCGGCTTTTGCGCCTGCCGCCCGGCCCCTCCCCGCCGCCCGCCGCCACAGGCCACGCCGAAGGCCGCCGACCGGGCGCTCACGCCACCCGCCGCTCCACTCTCCCACAGGGGCGCGGGGCCGGGGGCGCGCGGCCGGGCGCCGGGAGGGAGGCTCGGGCCCCGCGGGCTTTACCTCTCCCGCACGGTTAGCGTCTGCGGGGAGAGGCGGGGGAGGGAAGGCAGGCCGGAGGTCGGAGGCTTCCCCGCGGGTGGGCGGGGCGGCCGGGGATCCCCGGGGGCGGAGGGGGGCGTCCCGCGGCGCCGGAGGGCGGGGACACCCCGCGTGGGCCCCGGGCGTGGCGGGCGCTCCCCGGCGGGGCGGGCCCATGGGCCGCCGGGGCCGCCTCAGCTCCCTCGGCCGCCGGGGCCCCTCAGCTCCCTCAGCCGCCCCGGCCCCTCAGCCGCCTCGGCCCCTCAGCCGCCTCAGCCGCCTCAGCCGCCTCAGCCGCCTCAGCCGCCTCAGCCGCCTCGGCCGCCTCGGCCGCCCCGGCCGCCCCGGCCCCTCAGCCGCCCCGGCCGCCCCGGCCCCTCAGCCGCCCCGGCCGCCCCGGCCCCTCAGCCGCCTCAGCCGCCCCGGCCGCCCCGGCCCCTCAGCCGCCCCGGCCGCCCCGGCCCCTCAGCCGCCTCAGCCGCCCCGGCCGCCGCGGGCTGGGGGGCGCGGAAGCCGGGCCGGGGCGGGCTCCGGGCGCGCGGGGGGCGGGCCGGCGGTCACGCGGCGTGGGGCAGGCCCGGCCACCGCGCGGTCGGGGGCGGTTTGGGCCGGCCGGAGGCGGGGTCGGGCACCGCCCCAGTGTCCCTCCCGCCCCGCCCCGCCCACGGCCCCGCCGGCCCCGCCCCCGGCCCCGCCCGCCTCACGGAGCGACTCCGGACTTTTCTCCAGCAGGATGTGGGCCGGCCCGGTGACGTCATGGGGTCTCCCAGCCCCGCCCCTCGCCCGGGCCGCCAGGGGGGCGGGGGACCCCAAGGGGGTTTCCTCAGCACCGGGTCAAGGGGGAAAAAGGGGAAACTCAAAAAAAAAAAAAAGTGCTGCTGAAAGTTGAAACTCATTAACTTTGAAAAACAACTTAAAAAAAAAAAAAACACACAAGCCTAGGGGGGCGGGGCGGGGTGTCGGTGGAAGCGCCGGGTGGTGGAGGGGGGACGGGGCGGGCAGGGGGGGGGATGGGGGAGGAGGAACAGCTCATTAAACCTGAACTGAAACCTCTTCGGGGTTGGTGGATGTTCCACGAACCGAGCGAGGGACGCCGAGGTTATTCCAGAAGCCCGCGGGTGCTTCCCGAGGCTGCGAGCGTCGTTAACCCCTTGCAGGCCGCCTGACAGCGGGGTGGGGGAGGGGAGGGGGACCCCGGGGACGGGGGAGGGGGCGGCGAGACCCTCCCCCCCCACAACACTTCTCTTGGGGCTCAAACATTCCACACTCGGATCACCAGAAGCAAGCCAAAAAAAAAAAAAAAAAAAAAAAACGGGCGGCCCCGAATTTAGCAGCCGTGGGGGTCAAGGAAAGAGGTGCACGCCGCAGAAAATGAAGAGTAATCCCCTTTTAAGGAATTAAAAACACGCTAAAGGAACAGACACAGCGGCTCCCTCCCCGCGTGTCTTCCGGCTCGGGGTGACCCTAGGACTCCCGGGAAATCCTCCCTCCGCCACCGCACTGCTCAGGATTCTGCTGCCTAATGGACATTAATAACGACAAGAATGCTATGTCAGAGGGGAAACTTGCTTACTAAAAAAAGCAGAATTGCTTGGCGCAGCGAAGGTCCCGGGGAGGCGGTGGGGACACATTCGGAGGAATGCCTCTTTGCGTCGCCCCGTTTTAAAGTTTCCGGGTGATAGCATGTCTGCCATAAAATGAAATGATACCCGTCGGGTTGCAATCACAGAAACTGTGCAAGAATATTACAACTTCCCACCTGGGTGGCGTGACGCGCCCCCCCCCAAGAAAAAAAAAGGAAGGAAGAAGCACGCATTTAAATGGGCAAGCGGAGTGTGTCTGGCAGCAGGCTATTTTGAGGATTAGACCAGTGGGTTGCTCGGGAGTTTAAAGATGCGAACTGAACCAGTAGTTGTCTCACCCAACCTAAGCAGCTACTGCTGCGAGCTCAGCGTGAACTTTTTTTTTTCTTTTAGCAAAACACACGTTCAAATGTGAATGATCAGATATTAACTTCGCCCTTGCACTCCGTTTCCATGAGCACTAAGCTGATATTAAACTTAATTTTGCCAATGTACACACCAGGGAACAGTCTCCAGATTTTAAAATGTAATTTTTTGCATTCTTAATTCTTTCTACAAGTCTCAGCTTCCCAAGCATGGAGGTAACGAGACGCGGGGGGGGCGGGGGACAGAGAATCGAGATCTGCTACAAAGCAGCCGGTTTCCACTGGATTTGTTTGCTGACAAAATCAGCAGTACTTCTCAAAACGCATCACGTACGCGGAACGTGGAGTGGGGGAAAACACAATTTGAACCACAGCCTACGAGTCAGGGAACGGGGAACTGCAGTTTGAACTGTCAAAAAAAAAAAATCCTGGGACAGGGCTGGGGGTGCGGGGGAGAGGGAGTGACCACCCGGCTGCCAGGACGCAGTCCAAGGCTGCTGCAGGTGACCCCGGCGGGCGCAGGTGACCCCGCGAGTCCACCGGCCCGGCGGGCGCAGGTGCAGCCCCCCGCTGGAGCGTGGGACCAGCCAGCGAGCGGCCCGGGGTCGGAAGCAAGGCCAGGTCACCGAGTCGGGCTCCACGCGCCTGTGGGGCCATCCGGGGCGCGCGCACCAGGCCCCGCGGGGCCCTGAGCCCGGCTTCCCACGCGCGGCGCCTCCACGGCGCATCCCCGGCCCTCCGGCCCCGCAGCGCCCGCGCCCCGCCGAGATCCCGGAGCTGCCTCCCCGCCCGCGGCCGCCGCCGCCGCCGGGTCACGCCGCCCGGCCCTCCCCTCGGCCCTCCGCCCTGCAGCCGGGGCGCGCGCGCAGGGCTTCCCCGGCCGCCGGCCGAATCCCCTCCTCTTCCTCCTCCTCCTCCCGGCGACAAAAACCTAGCCCCCCACCCTCCTCCACGCTCCCCCCAGGCTGAGCCCTGGCCAGCGCTGCGTCCCCCCCCAACCCCGGGCTCCGGGCGCCAGACAAAAGAGCTGGGAGAAGAACTTACCCCCCGAGTGCTACGCCAAAGTCCCATCCCAGGCTTCCTGGGTGCAACTTTGAATTTTTTACAAACAACAAAAGCAGAAACCCCCGAGCCCTCCTAGGTTGGAAGTGGGCGTGAGAGGAAATGCTTGGGGGAGGCGCTTCGCTCGCTCACCCGAACCGCCCGCCCGCCCGGGCCCCGCTCGCAGGCTCCTGCCCCGGGCTTTGATCTTATCTGGCGCACCGCCTACGCAGGTTTATACCTTGGGCTGCGCGCCCGGAGCCGTCCGGGTACACCGCAGCCGCACACGCGCTGCCGAGCGGAGGAAGCAGGTGGCCGCGGCCGAGCAGCCCCGCTGCTCAACCCACGGGCGCCTCGGCCGGCTCGGCCTGGCCTTTATTACCTGCGCCCGGAGGAGCTCTCGGCGCCCAGCTCCGGGGTCTCGCACGGTTGGTCCCTGGTGGCATTTGTCTGTTGAGACTGTAGATTAACAGTCAGATTGCCCTCCACTCGTACCACGCACGCTTTGGTGGTGGGGCTTTGTTCCCTGAGGCTTCATTCGACTTTTCAGATCTCAGTTTTGAAAGTGAGCGGTACCCCTCCTTTCTCAGGTGCACCTGCCGCTTGGATGCCCATACATTGCACCGTGACAGGATCGCCCACCCTTGCGACTGAGTAAGCTCACCCACGTCCCGCGAGGGAGTGTGGTTTCAGCGTGTTTACCTGGATGCTTACCGAAACGGCTTGCATTTTTATATGAGGGTAGCTGTCTGAGGACCACCACTATCAGAGGATGCTTAGAAACAAGTACGTAGAGAAAAGCAAAACAACAACCAAAAAAAAAAACCAGGGAGAGCGCCATTCAGCCTTACTCCACCTAGCCATCCGTGCCAGGGACGCCAGTCCGTGCCAGGGACGCCAGCACCAGCTGGGGGGGCAGGCCTTGACAAATTAATAGAGAAGGGATTAACATACGGAAAAAGTACCTAGAAGGGAGAAGAAATGGTGCAAGATGCAGCTTATAAACAGAGCTCATTAAAGTTATATGTGATGGCTGGATGAGAGGTTCCTGGCTGGGCTGAGGGCAGGATTATCTGGGATGGGCCTAGGATTTGCCAGGAGAGCAAATTCAAGGTTAGGCCATGCGGTGAGGACCGTGTTCCAAGGAAGAGCAAGGCGGCTTGCTGGGGCTGATGATTTTGCTAGTGAAACAGGCAGTGCAGGCAGCCGCGGAACAACTCTCAAAGCTGGGTGCTTGGGAAGTGGAAAGGGAGCTAGCAGGATGCCCCGGAGGCCATCTCAGGCGGACAGGAAGGTAAGCTGTCCAGCTCCGGGTGGTGAGGACACCGCTGGCAGCCAGAGGTGACAAACAAAGAGTCTGCCTTGGGGGGGAGGGGGAGAAAGGTGCCATGCAGCCAGCAGTGGGTAGGCATCTACGCTGAGAATGGTCTTTTTAAGGAAAGTTGTTGCGGATGAATGCAGTGGAGCTAATTCCAAAACTGTAATAGTGTCATCTTGGTAGTGACGGTGACAGCTGGTCATGATGAACAATTACCCCGAGCGTCCAACCTGCCAGGCTTTCCTTACAAGTTCATCATAAACCTACACATCACGTGAGGAGACAAGAGTGAAAATGATTTACCATAGTCCAGTGCCTTGGCCTAGCAAGCTAAGCCTGTACCTACAGTGTTGCCATCCCATTTGAACGCCAACTGGAATCCCAGCTGCTCCACTCCCCACCCAGCTCCCTGTTTGTGGCCTGGGAAAGCAGGGAGGCTGGCTCAAATCCTTGGGTCTCTGCACCCATGTGAGTGACCCTGGAAAAAAGTGCTAGCTGGTGGACCTGGCAGCATGGCCTAGCAAGCTAAAGTCCTCTCCTTGAATGCGCCCGGGATCCCATATGGGCGCCGGTTCTAATCCCAGCAGCTCCACTTCCCATCCAGCTCCCTGCCTGTGGCCTGGGAAAGCAGTCGAGGACGGCCCAAAGCCTTGGGACCCTGCACCTGCATGGGATACCTGGAAGAGGTTCCTGGATCCTGGCTTTGGATCGGCATAACATTGGCTGTTGCGCTCACTTGGGGAGTGGATCATCAGATGGAAGATCTTCCTCTCTGTCTCTCCTCCTCTCTGTATATCTCACTTTTGTAATAAAAATAAATAAATCTTAAAAAAAAAAAAAAAGAAAAAGAAAAAACTGCTAGCTCGTGCCTTCAGGTCAGCCCAGTTCAGGCTGTTTCAGCCATTTGGGCAGTTAACCAGCAATGGACAATCTCCCTCTCTCTGCCTCCTCTCTCTCTAATTCTTTCAAATAAAAATAAATCTTTTAGCAAAAAAAAAAAAAAAAAGATTTATCATTTCTAAAAGGTTGAGTGCCCCAGCATAAGCTGTGACGGTACTAAAGGTACACACATCTGTAATCGGAAGGTGCCATCATGGGCTCTACTCCTACCGTGTGGGAAAGCAGCTACACCTGCCTTCTGATGTCCCACAGCTGTGGGGCAAAGGGGACAGGAGGAGAGTTCTAGAACATGCATCGTTTTGCTCTTTGAGAACCTGGTAGGCTGTGCCGTGAACGTGGGGATGGCACAGTAGTGTGGTGCTGAAGGGGAAGAAGAGAAAACGTGCCACGTGTTAACCCTGTGTGGTGTGCTGCAGGAAGATGGCACTCCGGTGCGGATGGGAACATGGCGAGCCTCGTAGGACACTCTGCTAGCGCAGCCTGGGGGCTCACTGTAAGCAGTGATGGGCCTGATTGAGCAAGCAGGAAGAAGGCTGGCCCTGGAGAATATAAGCAACGCATGCAATTCATCAGAGTTTCCCATAAGCCATGTCCACATGTGGCCTACTGCGGAGCAGGCAGCCTGTGGGAGGAGCCACACGAGCTTCTCATGAGCTGATGGTGTGGAATGACATGGTGACACGTGACACCTGGCTCATCAGCACCAGTAACCAAACAAAACACCCCCAGACAGGGGGCAGGAAGAGCATCCTTCGGGGTCTTGCAGTTCCGGGCAAAGCGAGTTTCCAACCGGTTACATCTCGGCTCTCTACCTGGGCCCACACACCAGCTGCTTCTTCCAAGGTTCTTCACTTGGCATTTCCTGGGGAGGGGTAGACATGCACTAGCTGACTGGAGCCTCCTTTGCTGAGGACACGGATTCTGTGGGATCAGGCCCGTACACTGATGACCTTGCTTAACCGTAGCCACCTCTGGACCATCATACTTTAAGGAGTGAAGGTTGCAACAGAACTCGTGCCAGGGGCCGCAGGAGGGAGGCAGGGAGGGTCAGTGACACTGTTCAGCCCAGACGAAAGGGCATTTTTTTTTTCATGGAATTGCAGGTAAAGCTAATGCCAGCCTAGCCAAGGGGCCTGGCAGACGGTTGAAGAATTCCCGAAGGAATTCATTCTAATCTCTCTTATTCCCAGAAAAAGTACTCCTATATAAGCCTTGAAATATGGTTGTATCCTCTCTTTAACATTTCTGTTCAGTGGTTCCCAGATATGCTGTGCAAAGCTGCCTCTGGATGCACACTGGTTACTGTAAAGAAAGCCATCTTAGTGGTTACTGAAGGATTTAAGGGTCTCCATTTCCCCATTATCCTCACAATCTGGAGATGCCAGAGAATCTGAATAATAATATGCCACAACCTGCATATTGTTGGGCATTGGGGTTTAAAAACAAGGTTATTTTAACGCAAAGAAAGAAAAATAAAACTTTGGAAATTCACCTACTTATTGTCCACGACTGTTTTAGAAATCCCTAGCCGTTAAATGAAACATCATCCTACAAGTGTGTGTGTGTGTATTCTAGAACCATTGTAACACCCCATGAATTTCCTTGATAACATCAAACTTTCCAGAATTTTGGTGTGGATTTCTTATCGCTCAAGTAGAGTGTTAGGGCCGCAAGAAAAGTGGACCTGTTTTGCTTCTGTCTCTATCCCAACCCCTCTAGAATGGTTGGAATAAATGTTGAATTAATGTTAAAATCTGAGTCTACGTCCCAGTACAATGGTTCATCCTCCTCTTTAAGTTCTGGGATCCCATAAGGGCTCTGGTTCATGTTCTAGCTGCTCCGCTTCCCATCTGAATCCCTACTTGTGGCCTGGGAAAGCAGAGATTGGCCCTGCACGTGTGTGGGACACACAGAAGAGACTCCTGGCTTCTGGCTTCAGATTGGCTCAGCTCCAGCCATTGTGGCCACCAGTGGATGAAAGATCTTTCTGTCTCTCCTTCTCTCTGTAGATTTGCCTTGCAAATACAAATAAACATCTACTTTTTTGGGGAAACAAGGAATGTGGGTCTTACTTTTCAGCCAGCTTATTTGAAATGTCTGGACTTGAAGTTCTATAGCATAGTTGTTGTAGTCTGGGAGCGGTCACCTGCTGGCTACTAGCAGAGCTTGCCTGGAGGACACCCAGCGCATGCTCCCCACCCCACCCTTTCTTGCTGCCCCCACATCTTCTTTGTAGGCCTTTCTCTCTCCGCAGCAACTGCGCTGTCCTGTTTGCGGCTAATCTGCATTCCCCGCTTTCAGAAAGTTTCTCCTCTACTGTAGCTTTAATAGAGATTCTCTGGCTTAAGCATTTTGTATGGAAGGAGAGAAAGTAGGCAGGTAGGCATGTGCATGTGTATATATAAAACAGAGAAGAGTATGGTAAGTAAGGTCAAGGTTAAACAGCAATGTATAAGAAAAGAGAGACATCAGCTGTTCTTGACGAAGACTCAGTGCTCCACCCTCGCTCCGTGTTGCTGAAATTGTTGAATTAAAGAGAGTAAAAAGCAAATGCATTCTAAACAAGGAATGGCACAAGTGAACAACTTGTTAGTCAGTATTTCTACTGGCACCCATCCGAGAGTGTGAGCATTTAGCACGAGGTGCCACAGTGAGCAAAAGCCAGGGCTTAGGAGCCAGCAGGCCTGGGGGACAGCCCTGCTCTGCCAGC